ACTGGAGAATGTAAACATGATACATGAATTTACAGGTATCCATGAGCGAGAGAGAGAGAGGCAATAACCTTCATCCGTTCAAAGTCTTCCTTCTTGAATAGCCTTTCCAACTCACTTGTAGCAGCAGCTAAGGCTCTTGATTTACCTTCATCATTTGTCATCTGGGAGAGCTCTAAAGTTGCTGCAGTGTAGGACCTGTAAGCTACCAACAAAGACTAAATGAGTTACAAGAAGGAACATTTTTAAACCACAAAGGAAAATTAGACGACTTGGATACCCTTTAATCTTCATCTTTCGAGAGGTATGATTCAGGATATGCAATCTTGCAAGCCTCTGCTGCCTCCTCGTTGTCAGTTCTTTAAAACTAAATTGCAATGTACATCCAACGGTCAGACTAGAAATTGGAGAATCTGAAGATGGATCAGAAGACTCCAATCTTATGGTCTCATCCAGTAGGTCCTCAGACATATTTTCTAAATTGTTGCTTGTAGGAATACGCAACACTGTCTCTTCCAATTTAAGTTGCTGAAACCCAAACAGTTTCACATTCAAAGATATTCTCAAAAATTGACCAAAATACTTTTGACAATGCTTCTTAAACAATGACTGCAGTGATTAAAGTGGATTAGACATAAAATATCTAGAAAATCAAATCTTACATGCAATATCTAGAAACCCAAACAGTTTCACATTCAAAGATATTCTCAAAAATTGACCAAAATACTTTTGACAATGCTTCTTAAACAATGACTGCAGTGATTAAAGTGGATTAGACATAAAATATCTAGAAAATCAAATCTTACATGCAGAAAAATGTATACATTTTTAAACATGTTTCAAAGTTGAAAATGGAAAACCCAAATTCTTTACAGGAATTATTACTGAAAATTACCTGTGTTGATTCTCGATTTTCCATAGCTTTATCATCAGGAAATGCCGTGCCTCTCTCATGGCAAACTTGGTTAACTCTTACACATTCAGATGGTTCAGGCCCATTATTACTAAATTCATCTGAATCATCAATTATCATGCTGTTCACCGGCAAATTAGGGTGTGTATTGTGCTTACCAAATCTGAGTTCCTTTGATTGACAGGAAGTTAAGCTGCTTCTAAGGAGAGGGACTTCTGAGAGTGCATTGCTGATACTCTCATGCTTTCTTTTAGTTACATTTACAAACTTCTTCAGCGATGACTGAAAAATAGTTGAACGGCACTGCAAACGTGAATTATCATCACATGATTCCTCTGGTGGGCTTGAACTAAGAGGCAAAGGTTTCTTTTCTGTAGTACTACTAGGATCCTTACATTTGTTGTAGGAACATCTAGACAAGGTATCTTCCTTCTTAGTGCTATGGACTCTCAGAAGAAAGTCTTGTCCTGCTGAATGGTTGAGATTGCCATCCTTCACCTCCACAATAGAAATATCATTCATGTCCTTTTTATCTGCTATACATAGAGTATCACCATCCAGAAGTTGCTTTTTGTCACATGCTTCAGCTTTATCACAGTCATCATGAGATGATTGCCTTCTCTGCAGCTGTGAGTTCTCTTGTTTAAAATGAAACTTGGAAGTAGATTTCTTCTTGCTCTGCTCATCAAGTTCATGCACTAAATAACTTGCAGAATCTGGTGAGTAAATCTTTTCCAGCGCTTCTCTTAAGGTGCGCAAAATGGATACTTCATCAGAAAAAAATATTTTTCTTTTGTCAGGCGTAACATTTACATCATACGATCTAGCGGGAACTGTGAAATTCATTATTGCAATTGGAAACTGTCGGGAGTTTGCACCTCTATACAATTCATTCACAAGTTTACTTACTTTCGGCATATCAACAGGTCGGCCATTTACAAAGAAGAACTGTCGATCTCCTAAATTGCGTCCGCTTCCATATCCAGGCTTTGAAAGAAAACCATCAACTGTGCAACCATCTGATATACTCACTTCCACAGGCTCCAAGCAGGTAAAGGTGTTCATACCAAGTACTGTTATGATGTTATCTCTAAGGGATCCACTTCCTTGTGTCCTAAGTACCACAGACTTTGCATTTTTTCCAGCTGTATTTGTGCATACTAGTCTAACTCCCTTAGCAATAAGAGCATAGGCCTGCAAACCATGACAGCAACGCTATGAAGGCCAAGTAACACAAATGCTACGCAAATACAGTTGATATAAGATGTAATCACCTAGACTACTTTTTCAGCAATTTTGCAATCAATTTTCCAGAATCAAAACAACTCACAACTCAAGTAATGGAAGTTGTTGTAACACCAGTATACATCAGCAAGAAACCAAAAGTGATGCTTAAACTAATCTTATCGAGTCTCAACTGAACTCTACAGTCCAGTATTGAGATCAAGATAAAACGAGCAAAATGATAATGATGCAAGAAAACTCATCTATATTCTTATACGAATTTCACCCTCATACTTTAAGGGGAACAACGCAAGCAATCTTGTCACTCTAATAAAAAAAAAATGACAAATGAGAGGAAATTTGAACAGAATGGACCCTGGGCATCTCAGTATAATCAATGGAAATAAGTTAACTCTTCAACAACGAAACGCAAAGCAATAATGAATTCTCCAGTAGTATTAACACATAAACAGGGTAGGGCTCACATTCAACAAAGTGATAAGCTTCCCATATTCCTTGCGTATATTGCGGTGAAACTCTTTGCTCCTCACTGGCAAACTAGAAAACAACTTCTTCACGGTGACAGTGGTGCCAATCTGTCGTGCTGTTTTCCTTTCAGTGACAAGAAGCCCGGAGTGGTTGAAAGTCAAGTGTGTCGCAACTGCTTCGTTCTGGGTCCTTGTCTCAACAGTTAACTCCCCCAGAGCACACAGGGAGCTCAACGCCTCGCCTCTGAATCCAAATGTTGCTAATGACTGAAGATCCGGAAAATCTGATATCTTTGACGTATGATGCTTCAGTGCAAGAACCTGCACCAGCAGCAGAGAAGAATGCGAATTTGCTACTGATAGTGGGTAATTCAAAAGTTGTACTTATCGGAAAACCCACAACAAATTATTTTTAGAGGGGGAAAAAAAACCAACAACAAAGCGAGAGGGGATGACGAAGGACGAAGGACCTTAAAGTTGTGAGGAGAAATGCCGCAACCGTTGTCGATAACCTGGAAGGATTCTTCTCCGTAATCTTTAAGAGCGATCTCGATGCTGGTGGCGCCGGCATCCAAGCTGTTCTCAACGAGCTCCTTGACGGCGGAGGAAAGGTCTAAAATCACTTGTCCAGCGCAGATTCGGTGAACAACGCCCTTATTTATAGGGCGGATGGTAGCAGAATCCTTGTCCAACATCATCGAAGGCCCACCTTTTGTTGCCATTGAATTTAATCCTCCGGTTCCATGGGATACTCGCAATAAAAGCTTAATCTAGAAAGTGGAAAGCAGAGACCCACCGATGATGATAAACAAGAAAAAGATTACGGTGAAAATCCCGAAACGTGATTGAAAGAATTATAAACCCTAAAAAGTCCCAAGCCCCACCCACACCCGAGTAGCCATGGATAGCATATTAAGGCCTTTGCCGCCAAAACTCTGTTTAACCGGGATTTATAGAGTTGCGAACAAATCACCAAGTAATCGCTCGCGCGAGCGAGGGATTGTAGGTGTCGTGGTGTAGTTGGTTATCACGTCAGTCTAACACACTGAAGGTCTCCGGTTCGAGTCCGGGCGACGCCATGCCTTAATTCTTTTTTGTTGTCCTCAGTCCTCACGCCCCCTATTTAACGCCTTTATGCTCCGCACCTCGCACGAGCCTCAGTAACATATAGTAGGAGTACGAGTAACAGGACGACGCCTTTAAAAGCAGCTCGGCTTTCATCCGCCTTTTCTGATTTTCACGAATGACGGTATGTCATTGGACGATAATGCAACAAAATTTACTAAAAAGGAGTAAGATACCTAATGCAAGATGATGACATGCTTTACAAATTAATCTTGCATTATAGGAACCCAATTACTTGAAAACACTTGCTCTCACAGAGTGCTTTGTACGAAAATTTTGAACCATGTGAGGTTCTTCAAATTCTGATCCTTTTTGCAAAAGCAATTTCCTAGGATTTCAACTTTTTGTGATTTTTTTCAACTTAAAAAATCCAAGGAAAAAAAAAAATTTCAGGAGGTGATGATGACACCGGTTTCAAGCACGCCCTCAGCAATCCATGATCGCTTCTTCTTCTTCTTGTCTATACACTCTTACCATATTTCGTTTAGCATGGATGGATGACGGTAGAAATGTGTTATTACCAATCCAGCTGCTAAATCCAGAATGGATGGATGACAGCAGAAATTAGTCGTATAAATAAACTCAAGCCTCGGTAACCATAACTAACCATTGTATCAAGTTAGAAAAAGAGAGTAAATAATTCATGTCCACAGTAATGTCTTGTATTTCACAATCCATCATCTGCTTCTTCAATATTGGGTGCTTCAAGGAAAATCAGAAGGAACTTGCACGTTGTGGAGGCCAATTGTGGATGGCCTTTCTGTGGAGGTCAATTGTGGATTTGTACATCTCGGCACCGTCTTGGGCAGGAGGGTGAGCCCTTGCTGCCTGGTAGTGCTTGGAGGGGGGTGCCGAGGTGGACTAGCTCAATGGGTACCAGGCATTCCAACTCAGAGACCTTAAAGGTCAAGGGTTCGAATCCTGAGGTGGACTAGCTCAATGAGTACCAGGCATTCCAACTCAGAGACCTTTAAGGTCAAGGGTTCGAATCCTGGGAGGCCCCCCTCCAAGCACTACCAGGCAGCAAGGGCTCACCCTCCTGCCCAAGACGGTGCCGAGGTGGACTAGCTCAATGGGTACCAGGCATTCCAACTCAGAGATCTTAAAAGTCAAGGGTTCGAATCCTGGGAAGGCCCCCCTCCAAACACTACCACGGCTCGTTGCCTAAGACGGTGTCGAGGTGGACAAATACACAATTGGCCTCCACACACATCAACCAAGAAAACTCCTGGTCAATTAAAGACCGAGGGAACTTGGAGCCAGGAATCTCATAGTATCCAACTGTTTAAAGAAGAACAGAAGAAGTAAAAAAGTGAAGAATAACATCTGCCGAAAGTTTCCGGCCTTCACAAAACCTTCTAACTAAAGCAGCAGCCAGAAACACAGAGCTCAGACGTCATCTCACGAGTGATAGCCATTATGTCTTTCTGATGGATATTGTCCAAATGAGATCGGTATCAGAGTGCACAGTCACAATCTGTCCTTTTGCAATATTTGATGTACTGATCAAGCCACCAAATTCCATCTTCGTATTGTCTAAACAAGAAAAGCTCCTCGAAAGTCTTTCAGGTTTGAAAGTCATTTATGGAACGGTAATACAATCAGTGGTGAACGAACATGAACCAGCAATTCCATAAGCCACAAATAGATAAGTACATCCAACGAATCAAAAGGAATAACACAATCTTGCCTCTTTAGAGTTTTATAAAGCATCATATATAGGCCCAACATATGAACTTGTGCACAACGAAATAACGGAGGTGTGCACATGATACCGTAAAACTTACTTAGATCCCACTGAAGGCCTCCTGTTGTTGTTGTGTTTGTTGATGGCATACCCACAGGCACTAGTCCACAATGTGGGCCCAGAATAGAGGGCTTGATGTGGATCTCATGATGATGACTTCTGGGAAGAAGTTGGATAAGGCAGTCATCATTCAGAAGAATTATTCGTATGGTTGAGAAGCGATATAATACATTGATGTTTCCAATCTCATGCCCACCGAGGGCCCCAACAACAACAATGCATAACTGAAATTAATCCAGTTTCAGTCTATTGATGCACAGAAGATTATCTTTAAAGAATAACATTTTCAAAGATCTATAATGCACATTAAATAAAAAAGCACCAAGAGGCTTCAGATCATTCAGTCACGCTACTGATCCTGCAAAATTGTATGAACTTAGTGTGTTTTTTTGCACAATAGTGTCTCTAATACATAGGCTTTATACAGTACACTCCAGTAAGAAAATGAGAAATTGCAGCAGAATCCAGTTTGAAAAGACAAAGACTCACATTTGAAATTTGCAGGTCGAAAAAATCACTGATGTACACAACACACTTGTGTAAATCCGTGGTGTCCTGATCATGAGATGCATCTACTATTTTGGTTCCCTGCATTTGGTTAAAAGCCCACGGCTACTTGAAAGTTGAAACAAGAACATAAATGCAGATTGCATGGAGAAGGGGAAAAAAAATGTTTGGACTCCATCTATTGATTACTATTTTGACCAATTTTTAAACAATTGCAAATTTACAAGCTTTTGGACCTTAGGCTTGTTTCTAAACTGGATATGTGAAAAGTTTCTACTACAACAGTGAAATAAATCATTCTTGTATCCAAATTAAAGAGAGTGAAATCCAGATTCGGACTAACCACTTCCACATATCTTGCCTGACTTCTCATAGCAAGTTTTCAAACCACTAATTTATTCCACTAAAATTTGATCTTATGTGCGCTGATGTATATGAAAGCACTTTGATTTGCGTTCAAGAATTAGGCCAATTTGGATCCGAATGATCAACCATCCTTTGTCTAAGTAACCGGACCGCTAACCTCCCATTGTCTGGGGACTTCAGCTGTTTAACCCTTCAAAGGCTTGAAAATTGCGTGATGACTTGAGCACATATGCTCAGGAGCACTTACAGCATTTTGCAGGTCAACCATTACGATATCTTTCAAACAGTAATCACTAGCTTTTCTGCAGCAATGGTGCTTTGCCCTTTATGTATATGATGAAACTTGTATGCGTAATAAATCTAAGGATCACAAAATGCTATGTGCCGATCTTTTTAAGTTTTTCCTCTTTTCAACAGAGTAAGAAAACAGCGCATTTACTAGGTAAAAAAAAAAAGCTTCAAATCCTCTGTCTCCAAAATAGTCTGTGTCCCTTATTTGTCCCTTATTTTGATGATTCATTGCTACATATCGGCTTTGGACAATCAGTTAAAGACCTTCTGTGCTATAAACATACGTTTGAATAATGCTTATTTAATACAGTATTCATTTAAGATTTAGTGGATCCAATGTTTAAGAATGGGACTATGGAGGCTATTATAACATAGCAAAACCAAAAAGACATGCATGTACTTGGGGAAAAAAAAAGAAGAATTAACTCTGCTGCTTGATGGATCCCCCGTAACATTCCAAGGGCATCAAAGAATTTACAAACCTTACAGGCAACTTTTTACTACTACATCCTGTTCAGTGCAAAAATTAAGATCTTCATTGCTTCAAAGCCAGCGACCCCTTATACAATTGAATGTCAGAAAGTAACTCAAATGCCGCTCTACAAACTTTTGAGTTAAATACAATTTAACCCCATCCTTCCGCTTAGCCAGCACCACAAAATCTACCTTCTATGAATCCTACTAAAAAGCAAAAATTCTATCTTATCCTTCAGTTTCTGCTGTCTCTGAAAACAGGACCGAGGTTCTACAAATCTTCAAACAATCCCAAGAAACGTATGAAGTCAAACAAAAGAAAAAGGGGAAATTAAAAAAAGAGTGTGCTTATTCAAATGAAAAGGCATATTTACAGACATCACGAGACCCGAGGGCAAAACTTTAGCTAGACAAGTTTGAGAGAAAATTTAGGACTAGTAACCACTAGGCCCATATTTCCATTAACTTAAATATGATACAGGAGTAGAAGGGGAGCCTGAAATGGAATCTCCCAGATTTTCAGCTCCCAAAGCCATCTCGAGTTTATGGTGAGAAAGGATACAGAGATGAAGGGATGATATACAATGCTGACACTCTACATGAAGTAGCTAAGTGATTTCTTCTTCCTTGAACCACCTTCTCCATACAATTCATTCCATTGGAGAAGCTCGTTCATATTTGCAGACTCTGACGACACACTGGCACAAACCTACAATTTAAAAGATGAAATATCACAAGTCTGTCTCCCAACTGCAACACGAAAATGCTTATGAGCATCACAAAATCTCTGGAAACAAAACCGCAAGGTAGTGATCTTACATATGGTCATTGTCATTGCTTTGACGAGAACAGCAGTAAGTTAAATCACACAATAATCCAAACTACTTTTACAACCAATGAGCTACAAAAATCCACATGCATTAAGAGATGAGAAAAAGGTTAATTAATGTCTCCACACTGCAAATGAGCCTACCTGTTCATGAGCATACTTGAAATCCTCCATGCTCACAGGACGAACATCTGAGCTGGTATGCAATGCTGGTAAAGGTCTATTTTCTCTCAAAGCCAAGGCCTTCTCCTACACAAGCAAGCAAACCACATTTTAACTCCACCTTGGAAGTTAGTAATATGAACAACAGATTGCACCAAACAGGATGTAACTATGCATCATTATCACCAAAGAAAAACAAATTCATAACCATCTGGCAATTACTAGTCGATAAGCAAAAAGGTAAATGAAGATAAAACTAATATCTGGATCAGAAAAAGAAACCAATATCGCTACATTACAGTTAATAGTAGCATTGACAGCAGCACCACAAAAGAAAGGATATGCAACTAGAGGAGCCAACCAATTTAACTCACCTTCTTTTCTTTTTCCAGAATTTCTCTTATAGGACAATGAGCAGCTGTTACACACAGATTCTGGAGACAAGAGATGATAATTAACAAAGAGTGGGACAGTCCTCGAGCAGTGGAAAGAGAGGCAAAAACCTGAAGTTAATAGCAGGCAAATACAAACGCCAAAGGAAACTGGCTGACTAACCTTTAAATCACTTCCTGAGTACCCCTCAGTCATATTAGCAATCGATTCCAGATCAACATTAGGAGCCACTTCTTCTTTACTCAATATAACTTTCAAAATTTTCTCCCTATTTGGTGCATCTGGTAAGTTTACCATCAACCTGTACCAAAACAGACAGATGAAGCAACAGCTGTATATCATAATCATGTAAAAAGAAAGGGGGGAGGACCTGAAAAGAGTTATACCTTCGAGGAAGCCTCCTAATAACAGCCTCATCAAGGTCAAAAGGCCTATTTGTTGCAGCAAGTACCAATACCCGCTCCTTGTCTTTCGTCCGCAGACCATCCCAATTCACCATAAACTCATTCTTCATTTTCCGCATTGCTTCATGTTCACCAGGGTTTTCGCGCCGTCCTAACATGCTGTCAACCTACAACCAAGGTATACATGTTTCTTTCTATCGATAACAGAAAGCTAAGGAAAGAAATCAGATGAAAAGAAAAGCTGAAAAATAATCAACAATAATACAAGAGAGTCCTTGTTCCCTCTTTCTTTCAAAAGGTAATTTACCAGCACTGTTCTATGATGTCAGTGAAAAAATTCACAAGACATTGATAACAGTAATAAAAAATCAAAGGCAGACGTAATCATTAAAGAATGGAAAGAAAATAGCGAAAGAACCCAAAAGAAAGCTATTAATATGTTGGTGAGACAGATAAGATCTCACCTCGTCAACAAAAACAACACTAGGAGCAATTTTACTAGCCAGTGTAAAAACTGCTTTCACATACTTCTCTCCTTCACCAAACCACTGCAAGCAACAAAAATACATTAAATCAATGAAAACAGCATTATACAAGAACAACCGTCAAGCAAAAAGAGACTACAGCAGCACCTTGGAAGTGATGCTTGACATTGATATGTTAATAAAGTTAGCCCCAGCTTCAGTGGCAACAGCTTTCGCAAGCATTGTTTTACCGGTGCCAGGAGGTCCAAAGAGCAATATTCCTTTGCAAGGCTGCCAAAGAACAACTCATTTAGCAAAAGAAACCAGCTCTGAAACATGACAAGTGTATACACACATAAACAAGTTTGTTGAACATGGGCATTCTAAATTAAGTCCAAATATACCTTTGTGAGCTGTCCTTTACAAAATAACTCAGGCCTTTGTAAAGGAAGCATAACCAATTCTTTCAGAGTATCCTTCACATTTTCCAATGCTCCAATGTCATCAAAAGTAACTCCAATGTCAGTGGGTGGAATAACATCAGCAAGAAGTCTCTTCTCAAATTCATTCTCGGTAACCACATCCTGTGCAATATCTCTTATTAGAACATAAGAGGGAATATTTACTAAAATCAACTTATAAGAAACTTGAAATTAAGACAAACCGCTTTTACTTTGAGAGATTTCTTTGAACATTTGGTTTCATTTTGAATGCCCTGCAGGATATTGAGCCCGTAGCTAATACTGAAATTCCATTGAGGAACAATGTTAAAATATTTTGTACTAACAGGGAAAAGTAAAAAGAAAGGTACTTAAGCTACCTTTCGTTGGCTATAGAGAGTCTGCTGTCTTTCACGGAAGCTTCAGAGAAATGCATAAAGTGATGACTTAAAGCCCACCCAATTATTTTTTCCACATCTATCACATTTGGAAAAGCAACTTATAAGCATCTCCATCAAGTTGAATTATCTCCAATGTCAGAAACCTAAATTTTAAACAAAAACCCACTTACTTTCACTTGTCAGTGCTTGATCTTTAATGCATAGGCTATCAAGGTCAGGGCAATCTATCCCAACTCGATTTAGCACCTGGTATAGTGAAAACAGTTCAGACAACAAGAAGCAGAAAATAAATACAACTCATTGGCTTCTAACACTTTCTGGTTTGATCAGAAAATGTGATTGATAATTACTTTTCAAGCCATTTTGTGTTTGGTTAGTAACTGGACCATATTAACTATACTATAAAATTGATATTTGTAGCAACAAAACAAGAAATATAATATTATAACTAAAATAGCGGTTGATCAGCGAGCTACTTCCAAAAAAGTGCCTTAAAACTGGTAATTAGCAGCCAAGTGAAAAAAAGACCACAGCAGCATAGGATTTTTTCTACACTACCATGTCCAAGAGTAAATACTTTTCGTGTAGCTGAAAACTGACATTGTTAGCATAAGACCAGCAAACCAGTTTCTGCAAATAGATAGAAGTCCTAAATTATTTCTTCGTAGTCAATCAAATTAGAAATTAGAATGAGCAAAAAAAGGAAGCAAATAAGGCCTGAACAAAACACGAGGCCAGCCTAAGGTCTAAGTTTTGGAAGCTACAACCTCTCAAGGTTCCAACCACATGGAAGAGCAAAATCCAAACACCACAAGATGCAGATAATACCCAAATAAAAACCAGGCAGAGATGTTTGAAAGATGAACAAAAGAACAAGAAAGAAGAGATGTTTGAAAGATGAACAAAAGAACAAGAAAGAAGCAGAAAATTCCATGAAACATAACAGGAGAGTGAGGCCAAAGACAACTTACTGTTCGAATGCTAACAATATTTGACTGTGACTTCAAAGTTTCAATATCACGGTCCAGCTGTTGTTTCCAATCAGATAGCATAGATTCGTCCTGCCATAATACAACATAAATGCCTCTCTGAATAGCAGCAAGCATGGGTAACAGTGTAGCACATAGTCAAATACTATTTACAATCACCTGAGGGATCTGTATCGTGACTTTGTTCGGGAAAAGACGGGAAAGCTGCTTCATTGTCTTAGGGGTTTCTTTGCCTCTGTCATGCAATCTACCAAAGTTATCCTGTAAAAGCAAACAAGTAATGAGGCATTCCAGGTTCAGGAAAATGACACTTTCAAATGCTAAAAGCCAAAGGAATTCAACAACAACATCAATAACAATAACAAAAGAAGAGAGAGGAGTAGCCTTTTTATTTAAGAGAATAGTTGATGTACAATGAGGTTTCAAGTCTTAAACATTAGAAAGGCAAAAAATTGCAGATCCTGTACAAAGTGAAAAAAAATCTACATAAGCCAGCAGGCATGGCTCAAAAAAGACCAACCAAATTTGACACCATGCATGGAAGCCGAAGAGACATGCCAACTAACGTACACAAGAAGATTCCCTCCCCCCATTCCTCCACTTCCATGATAAAAAGCAATAATTAAACAAGAACTAGAAATAGGATAGAAACTAAGAACAATCCAATGTGGCAGATAATTAGAAAACAACGTACTGGAAAGGCTAGGTCAAGCAATGCTGTTTGATTGCTTCCAAACTTCGTAAACAGAAGTCCACCAGGATGGGACTGGAAAAGAATATTAGCATCAAATGCTATTTAACAGAAACGAATCTGAATGTAAAGAAGATCACCACCAATACTTACTTTCTCCTTTCTATTGTCTGTCTGGGTATGGGAAGCTATAACAACAACATTCTTTGGTAATTTCTCAAGCTTAACTTTAAAGCTTGCATATGCTTCGGGATTCCCCATCATGGATTTCTCTGTTTCTTTCACAAAGAGAATTAATGGGCTGTTTTTACTTTCTTTTGAAGCAACCTACAAAGGTAATATGCCAAATTAGGCATTACAACAGGACAGCAATACGGTGATACACTATCATTGTATAACATTCCACAACAGAAAGGACAGCAACACTAACAAAGTATGATACCTCAAAAAGTTCATGAATAGCAAGCCTGTCAAAATCATCAGTTGAGGTATCAAGACGAAGCAGGTCAGCTGCAAATCAACAAGCGAATGTCAACAAGAACGGATTCAGTACATGAAGTTCAAGGAATCATGGGTGCAAGGAAAGTTGAATGAAAGAAAGATACATCATAGATAAAATGGTAGAATTACCAGCACAGAAGAAACCATGATCATCTTCACAGAGGCCCCCAAGATCATTGCCTTCGGGAATTGATCTATCAAATCTCACCCCAATTTTAGAGGCACCATTTTCCTCAAAAGCAAGAACTACTTTGCCTCGGTATCCATATGATGGTCCCCTACAAAAGGAGTAATGTATTATAACCTCAAAAGTCGACCGAAAGGCTAAATAGTTTATCCAACCCAACAAAACCAATATAATGCATTGTGAACATGCCAGCTAATAGTAAGAATTGGCTACCAAGATCATTGTACCCATTGTCAGTATGCACACAATATTATCACACTGAAGGACCATCAAACTTAAATTCCAGCCTTGCAGAATTGCTCTTAGATAGAAGCTTCATGCAGGGTTATACAAGAAACAATTTGAATTCCAGTCCACAATCAAAGAAAAGTTACAGATCAAGATTTCAGCAATCATGAAGTATCAAACATAATTCAGCATAAGCCACTCCATATAAATTAATGAATACAGTGGAAAAAAAATCATCTAATCTCAACACTATCCAAAGGTAGCCAAGAACAACACCTACCCTAAAACTACAAAAAATTTACTCCATTTAACATTCAAGGCATAAGATGTTGGCAAATTCAGAAAAAGCACCCATAAATTCGGCCTCTACCCTAAAACTGTGCTATCGTTCAGAAGGGGATAATCGGTTAGAAAGTCCCTGGTTTGGACAAGAATATTAACTAACAATATTGCAAATTATCATATGACATTCTGTACTGCTGACTATCTGCCCTGGTGATCAATATCCTTTAAAATCCAATTAACACACCTGACATTAAATAGGCTGTCCAACACCTCATACAGATGCAGAGGGAAAAGGGAAAACAAGAGAAAAAAATAGCAAGATTGGGGCTGAGGACAGGATAATTTGGGCTAGAAGTTCAATCAAACTGATGGAACATTCACCTTGACGGAGTTTGCATAGGAGAAAAGCCAGATGACAAAGGACCCATATACTTTACTCTATCACCTGCAAAATAGCATCCTCAGCATGTTTAATAAGAAGTCATCCTACAAATATCCAAGTACAAGAAACACCTTCTGATCTGATTATTTGCAACCACAGTCATCCCACAAGAGACAATGTAAAGCAATAGTCCTAAAATCATTAGCTACCTTTCTTAAAGGTATAGGTTTTTGATGATGCAGTAGATGACTCCTGCTTAGGCTGAGCCTGAGAGCTTAATGTAGAGCCCCCCGTTATTTCAGCCTCGACACTTGAAGCAGGTTTCTTAAGATGTAAAGCAGCCGTATGAGCAGCCCTTTTAGCAAAAACACTTGCTCTTTCAGGCCTGGAGCCTTCTTTTACAGAATCCACTTCCTTCACTGTTGATCCCTGGAAAGATTTCAAATCAAACTATAAGTTAACAAAACACAAACCAACGTGACCCAAAAGAATTGGGACTGTAGAAGTATCTTACACCAGGCAACAGAAGGGAATCAACAATGAGCAATTTGGCATTAAAATGTTTCGCTAGTGCCTTTGTTAACATCTCCTGGTATATGTCCGACCCTACAAGAGATTTTCGACAACTAAAAAAGTCAAGAGGGAATAAAGAAGATGAAACGAGAAACAAATTTACTGAGAAAGAGGATGTTCTACCTGCTGGACCTGACAACAAAATTCTGGGGCACACGGTTGGGAGATCGGAGGTGAATTTTGCAAATTTGTTGCACTTCAAGGGTATGTAAGTAGAAGCAATGAGAACATTCTTTGTGGTCTCACTGTCAACAAGCAGGATACAACAATTACATAACAAGTTGTAGAAAGCATAGTGGATAGGAAACAGCAAATAATAATCTCCAGCTTAGAACATGACTAACTAAAAGATAATTCCAAGTAATAATCAATCCCCAGCATGATAATAACATGAAAGTCATAGAAATTCAAAAACCGCTTCAAGTAAAAACTCCAAAACTAAAACAAAGACCCAGCCTACATGAGAAAGACCAATAACATAACACTAAGCACTATAACCAAATTCATAGAAATCTAACATGTTTGTGCAGTCTTGATCTGCTCAATAAGATAAAAACCGTTGTGATTAAGCCAGACTAGCTCAAGTAGTAATCACAATAATCTACTAGAGAAGAAGATAAACACAGACACAACAGCCATGGGTCCGACATCAGCCTTATAGCCTGGCCACGTAATTGCTCCAAGATAAACTACAAGAAGAATTTAATAGCAAAGAGACTACATATGTCAACATATTTTCCCAATATTCAGATCGAAGTTATCACCTCAAGTAATATGGAAAATTTTCAAATGAGACTTCAATACAGTTTGGATCAATTACTCCTTGCTGTAATACATCTTTAAATGCTTCCCGCCTGGTTGATGTCAGAATTGGAGGATCTAAATCCTTAAGTAGTTCTCCAATTTCCCTTTGTTCATCAAGAATTTTAGAAATACTCCCACTTAAGTCAAACTCAGCAGCACCTGATCTGGGAAACATTCTCAGGAACCTTATATCATGTGACGCAGCAGCTTCCTTCCCAATTTCTGGATCAACAGAATCAATTTCGACGCTGTCAAGATTCATGTTTTCATTCGCAGCACGAGATAATGGTACATTTGCCTTCTCGCCCGGAACTGGGCTATCATTATGATCAGTAGTGTCCTTCATTTCAGCATCCACAATAGGATTATCCGACACTTCACATGTAGAAGGAAGTGTAGGCATTTCCGAACCTTCTTGTACATCCTCATCTTTCCTAGATGATGGAGGGAGTAAAGATAGCTCTTTCCGAAGATTAGATAAAGATGCTAAAGTCGATGCAACCGCAACAGCAGATGAATCTCCTGACCTGGCCTCAAAATGCAACCCTTTGATTGGTCCATTATGGGATTCTAATATGTTAACAGAAGGTGGAAGCGCCGTACCAGACACATTATCAGGGGTGAGTTGTTGGAAAATCTAATGATATGTTAAGGGAACAACTGTGCCTTAGTAGAATTAACAATTCTCGGAAAATAAAATAGACGTTAAAAAAAAAATTTGCTGAGGACGAAAGAACTCTGTACAAGAAAAGAAAGGAACATAAAAAATTCATCTCCATTCACATGACCAATTTCTCAAGTATATAATTCAGAATGAAGAAAATAAATAGAGAAAAAAATTGTGGTAATAACACTATTTTCAACTTAAGTTATGAAGTGACCATTAAAATCTTCTTCTTCGGAATTACCATTCCTAATCTGAATTTCACTTAATATCTATGCAGAACATGAGATTTAGCAATAGAAGCTTAATTCATTTGGCACACTGATATATGAAAATGACCTAGCCTCAGCATCCTCCATGCTTAATCAAGAAAACATGTAAAATTTTCAATTGTCTTTGTTCTCCCCAAATACACATAAATGAGGAATGCTAGTGTAAGGATACGTATGCATGTTTACCAGATGAGCTAAACACAACCTCATCACCTCCACTTAGAGGCACAGTAGAATTCTTCGGGTATATCTTGCCATTAACCTGGACAGAACCTTTTTTCCCAGTAATCTCAAGTAAAGTGACCGGACATCCTCTCTAAAAAATAAAAAGGGAATAAACAAAATATGTAAGCATGCAAGACACCTGAAAATGTCACACTAATGAAAATTTATGCCATTAAAGATATCTGTTGTTAACATAAGAATTCACTTCATACCTCTGTCGATATGTGCCTCAAGCGACATAGAGATTTACTAACAGATGGATCTCCAACCCACAAGTCAGATTGGCGATCTTGCCCAACAGTGAAAGTAGAATTACTGATAACAACATGACGATTCTGATGGAACAAGAACCATAGAAAATAAAAGTAAATAACAAACTCCCCAGTAAAAACAAAAGTATAGGCTTCAGATTTTTCGAGACAAAGAAAAGAACAAAATCATGAATGGAACATGCACCATGATTTACCATGTTAGGAACTTGATAGTTGATACTGAATTTAATATTCCACACTACTTTGACTCATCAAACTAAAGTACTTAATTCAGACATTTCCAATTTCAAAAAATGGCCCTACATTAACATGTTTCAAAGATACATAGGAAATAATCGACTACAAACCCAATGAAACCTCAATAACCAAGTACAAATTCTTCGTGCAAAACTGCAAAGCTGCATGATGAGATATGGGATAACAATGGGTTTGATTGGACACAAGTTACTTGGAAAAAATTATGTGGAGACTTCTTAAACACATTTCCTACCAGATTTTTATTTTCCAAGCCAACTTTTTTGTGTCACATGAATCGCATCACATCACATCACCAAAAAGTGCTACAGTAAAAAAATTTCCAAAATAATCTCCACTCTAAACACACGATTTAAAATTAACTAAGGTTACATGACAAAATAGCATGCACACAACGAAATGCAGACCCACCAGAAATAATATGTGATTAAAGAATGAGAAACAAAGTATGTCAAATACTATTCTTGGAGCAACAGGGTGATTTAAACAAATAGGTTCACTCGTCACCAGGATTCAGTGCTTTAAATAATGCACCTATAACTACTACAAAGCAGCAACTGCATAATTCCTCAACAGGATCTCTGTCGCAAATCCATTTATTCCCCAACCACATAAATAAGTACGTCACTAAAGAAGTATTCCGAAAAGATACCATTCTAGCTTAATTGTAAAACCAAGATATATGCAGATCATTATAATGACAAAAACACTTTAATTGAATCCCAAAGAAGCACTTGAAGTCCTTAAACCTGCCATATGATTCATATACCAAACAAGATGGTGCAATCTTTCTTTACGGCCATTAGAGGAACAACAATCCCAACAGGCATATTAATTACAATGCATGAAAAAGAGCGTTCAAGCAGGTTACGAGTATAGAATGGAAAGATCTTGCTCGCACATTACATAGCATCAAGCGGAAGAAAGAGGAGTTTTGAGGTTCCAAGATTCAAAGCATCATACAACCTAATGGATAAAACTTGTTCCAGAAATTTATAATTCATTAGAAAGAGCGTCGAAATTCATATTGATGAGCAAGCGAATAGTTTAAGGAGGCAACCTCAAATTAAAGGAATTTTAAACACCACATTTTTCATATTACGAGCCTGAAAGTTTCACCAGTTGGATGATCCAAAATAGCCGGAATATAATCATAAATGACCCATGAAACGAACTTTATTTCCTGCCATGTACCAGATCATTGTAATTGTGAACAAGCCCATTTACTGTCTACCACGAAATATTTTATGTCACTACCAACTGCCTAGTAAAGGCACAAGCTAATAACCATGGCAAGCTCAATATTGTTGTGCAAACCAGATGACTCTAAAAGCCAACCACACACTATATATAATGTAGTTTTCTCAATGTCTTACCTAATTACATAATTTAATGTCTACTTATCTAGACTAGGATTAGACAACAGCAAATCATGGTACACAAATTCGCTCAAAATGGTCTTATTTGCTTGAGCCTTATTTGTGTCTATTCGTCAAACATCTTAAATAATATTTGAATACCAAAATAAGTAATTTCAAGACTTAAGCAAAAAATACAGAAGAAAGCGTGGGTCGCTGGCAGGTCTTATACAACTGATAAAACCTCGTGAAGTCGTTGATAACAGAGGTTCAACCCACAAAACCCAGAGACTACAGAACCCCAAAGATACATCCAATCAACTAGCAAACTTCACCCTGACAAGATGAAAGGGCAGGGTGAATTTCCAGCAACCTGGCAGTGATGATTCAGAAATGCTAAGTCCCAAAAGTAGAAATTCAAAACAACACAGATCTCAAGTCTTTTAAGAACTGAACCAGCCAAGACATACAAAGTCGTTAAGGTGACAATGCCAACAATTAATCTCAAAAAATGTAGCAATCTTCCACCTTGCCCCAAGATGTTGATTCCATACATCGGATGAAAAGAACCAAAAATTACTCAGTGGACAAGCAACAAAAGATCCCAAAATTCCATCTTGCTAAATCTTTGGTATCATCCATAAGCATAAAACACCCTGTAAAGAATGAGGGCAACAAGAGTGACAGCGTACCTGAGAGAATTGGGAGAGAAGCTTTCCCCAGGCAGCCGCCGCCTTAGATTTCATTTGCCGCTTCTTGCCCCGATTTAACACCTTGCCAATAGATTTCGTTTTCTCCAAATCAATCACTGAATCACCTAAAAACCAATGAAACAGATAATAAAGGAAGCCCAGAATTCTTTAAAAAGAAGTAACAAGAATCACGGCTGAACACACAACCAAGAACATGCAAGAACAAAGATCGGACCTAAAGTCATGGGCGACACTAAAGGCTCACTTTCAAGTCGGCCCTCGGGCAATTTTTCAGGCACCTCCCCGTCCGACAGCTTCAAATTGTCAGCATCCGTCAGATCAGCTGACCGAACCTCCTGCTCTCGTGATTCCCTTCCGCTTTCCTTTGCGGCGTCTATGCCCACCTCCCCGGAAGAATCATTAGTCGACGAGGATGCCTCCCCGGCCTATACCCATATAAAATCCCATTAACTCCTACTAATTTGGAAAAAAATCACTTGAAAATAAAATTGAATTTCTAGATTCAAGAATCATATGAAATTCCGTTGCGTGTAAAAGACACCCCAAATCAAAACAGCAAACCCTAACCCTAACCTTGGATCTTTTGCCTTTAGGGAGAGGAGAGGAAGGAGAAGGAAGAGGGCGTTTGGAAGTAGAAGAGCTTCTCCTGGTTTCAACCATATTCTTGCCGTTCGCCTCGATTCCGAGAATTGATCGATCTTAATTATATCCCAATTTCAATAATAACTATAATCAGAGGGAGAGTATTTCCCGGAGAGAGGAATGAAAAGGAATAAATCAGAGAGAAGCAGTGGGGGATGAGAAAAAATGGTGGATGATTGCGGAAGATCAGTAATCAACTCGGGCTTCGGCTTCTTCTGTTGTTTACTTAAATATTATGTATAGTTACTACTTACTACTGTTCTTAAAAAAGGGAAAGGAAAAGAAAAAATCTACAGCGATTTTGATTTTGGGGTTTGGTTTGAATGGCGGTTTAATATAGGGTCAAAGTAGGGGATCTTACGGTATGTTCATTTTTTCTAATCTCCACGCATATATTATCTTTCCTAACCCAAAAAAAAAAAAAAAAAAAAGTTGCAGTTTTTATCATTTAGGGAAGACTTCTTGTTCAAGTCGTTGCCAAGACTCTCCCCATTATGAGATGTTATAGTTATTGTAAAGGGGGTGGCAGCAATCAGTTCAAGATCGAAGGGTTTAACACGAATCAAGATGTAAGATTGGATCTACTCTCATATGATGCAATTTCCATAGGAACCTACCTCTATATTAATCAATCTGATTTTAACCAAGTACCATTCGCAACAATAATGACGATATGGGTTGGTTCAACAAAAAACAGGTCATGGTTGGTTGGAGATTTCCTCTCATAATATAAAATAGGGATAATTTCAGAAACTTCCGTGAGATTTCTAACAATTTCACTGAGCTTTCCTAAATTTTGAAAAATTATATTTACCTCTCTTGATTTGATAGTTTTAGTAACAAAATATTAAAATGATTTTGACTTGATCAATTTTTTATATGAATACCCAAAATGTCCTTGTATAATGAGTTTTAATTTTTTTATACAATTATAAGATTCTTTAGTATAATTGTAAGGCAAATGTGTCAAATTTTTCATGTCCATATCTACTAATTGATAAACAATTATAATAATAATTTTATTACTATAATATAATACTTTTGATAGTATTTTATTATAAATTTAGATTTATAAGATAGAAAATAAAATGGTGAAATAATTCATTTAGAGTTTATGAATTTTTCAAATAGTGGAATTATCATCATTTAATAGTGGTTTTGGATAAATTCTTTTTTATTTATTGTTAATTTTAATACCAAAAAATAGAAAACAAGAATCAGCAAAAACATTGGATTGCATATAAAATTAATTTGTCAAAAAAAATCACTAGTTCAATATTTGATTATAATAAAAATTAGAGGTAATAGTGGTAGTTTTATAGTTTTATTGGTGAAAAATAAAAAAATAATTTTAAAATTCATTCTAAGTATAAGCATGCCAAATAAGGGAATTTTGTTAAAATATTTAAAGGTAAAATTGTCAGTTTAAATGACAAGGGAGGTGTGTACAATTTTTCAAATCTCAAGAGAGCTTAATGAAATTGTCAGAAACTTTATGGGAGGTTTATGAAATTATCCCTATAAAATAATAATTCATAGTTTTTATACCATAGTGGCACTAGGCGCTGGGTAGACTATAGCTATGTTTGAACATCAAATTTTTTTCAAATAATATTTTCGCTTATATGATAAACACATTTTTCAACTCATTTTTTTATATTTTTAATCATATTTTTATCTCATAAAAGTTATGGCAACAGTTACAATTTATAAAAAATAAAATAACTCGCACTCAAATGCAACATGAGCACGATTCATCATAATCAAGAAGCTTATACCAACCTACCTAAGAAAAAAGAGAGTACGTCAAGAGTAAGGTTAAACATGTCATATGCACATTATCTTAGATTCATATTGTTTTGCTCTACTCATTCGTGTTGGAATACCTTGCTGGAGTAGGATTTTGACACTGGAGGGTGATCATTATTCATCGCTATATTTGAATTTTATGTACACTGAGACGTATTAACTTTAACTAGCAATCTTACCCGTGCAATACATAGGTTTCTATTTTCAATCAAATTTATTTTAGAAAAAAGAAAATTCTAAAAAGTTCAAAAGATGAAAAAAAAATTTACATCAAGTGCTAGGCATTATGTATTGCATAGATATTATTATGTTGGACACACAAATCGAATATTTTAATATTCCAAAAGGTATTGTTATGAGAGCGTTATATGATTATAACAATGTATGGAAGAAAATTGAAGGGGAAAAAAAAAGAAACATGCCAAAGAGATTTACTCTAGGATAAATGGAAGACTAACTAGAGTTGTGTTCGATGACAAATGAATTATAAGTAAATGTCACCATATTTACTTTTTTAACTACGTATGATACATGAAATATTTGTTTAGGCACCAAATATGAATATTGAATCTATTTTTAAACTGAATTAAAAAGTTAAAATAATTATTTGTATATTCCAAAATGATGCTAGTATAACGTAAAAAATTATTAATTTTTCCTACACTATCAGTTTTGGATGGCTAACAATTATATAAAATTTGAATTTTAACGGGCGATAGTGTATACATTATTAATGTATATAAGATTTACTCGAAAAAAATGAAAATAAAAATAAACCTATTGAAGGCTCACTAAACACCAATAAAAATGTATAAAACAAAGTTCATTCATCTTATAACAATATCACTAACTCCATCGTTGGCCATTAAAATGCATTTAAGAAATTTTAATATTAGATTTTTAAAATGAACATGAAAGTCATTGGAAAATTTTTTTTAAGGTGAGAAACAAATTTCCTTTCAATGAGCTTGATGCATCAAAATGGGAAAAATATTTTTCATATTAGGATTAATTTTTCCTTACACTATTAATGTATACACTGACGGGTTTGAATAAATATTATATAATCTGAATTTGAATTTAAATATCAGTTTTGATGTATGTGGCATGCGATTACACCCGCTACTGTATAAACTGCCGATGTATAAAATATTTACCCTTCAGATTATACATATATGTATCCAAGCATGCATATATACATACACAGATATGATAAAAATTCAAACCAATTTTGATTTGAATTCATGTGTTTAAAATCGTGATATGTTATTGAAGGATAGAATATTGAACCGAAAACTACAACTCTAAGCATATGATATACAGATTGATTTCCTTAGACTCCTGTCAGAAAATTTATACTTTATAGATGGGAAAACATTTTGATGTTATTATACCGTGCCATTTGACCCGGTAGACAGATACTATAGGAGAAAACTGCTGGAGAACCCGTAGTAAATTAGTAATAAATCACGCACACCTTGGAAAGTGGAAAGTAATCAAGCACGCAAATTATGCATATGGTGTCAACTGCGGCCAATCATTAGATGTTTTTGCCGTTTTCTTTCTGCAATTTTCTGGTTTCATACTTAAAGTTTGTGAGGTATGAGCTGCACGTGATATATATATATATATATATATATATATATATATATATATATATATATAAGAATATCAGTAGAAATGAGTAGAGCGAATTCATATGTTAGATGATTTGTCAAAAAAGAAAAAATTAAAACATTAGTTGACGGTGGATTTTGGTTTTATTCCTTAAATGTCAAAGCTATTGGATGTTATTAGTGAACCAATTTATTATATTATTATTATTTGATCAAAATAATTATTATTATTTTTAAGACGATGTTATTTACACTCTAATTATGTTATTTACGCTCTCATTGTCTCATTTTCATTTGACTGCAATACGGTTTCATTAAAATGAAAATGACATAGTAGGAGTGCAAATAATATATTTTAAAATATATATAGCCTGTGTTCAAAATTATAGCTAATTGATCATATTATTCAAAATTGCAAACTTAAAGCTACTGGTACTTGCTTCTTTCTTTGTTTGCTGGGAAGTGATAAACAAACTAAAGAAATAGCGTAGAAGGTTAGATGTTCCTTGGACAATTTAATAATACGCGAAGTCGATGAGACCCCAAGGCAAATACTAACACCTCTTGATATTCTAACGAGTCAAACATTGACAGTAATAGGAAACTCTAAAATCTTTCTAGAGCATAAAAAAACAGGAACACTAATTACCGGTACATGATAAGATGAATATTTTGGCTTGTACCAGCAAGCACAAGATTATGCAATCGAAAATAATACATTAACGGATACTCCCATTACGAGTTATAGCAGTGAATAAATGAGCAGGTAATCGTTAACCACCAACAACAAATCGATTTAGGTTGATGTTGACACCGTAAGAGTTTCGGCATCACTTGAAACAGTGGGACCGCACTGAAACACTTTGCCAATTCTCTCAATCGGCACCACAGGCAGGCACTGCGACACCGTGTAACCCCTCTGCGCCGTGTAAGCCACGGCTTCATTGTATTTCTCGCACCAATAAACAGCCGTGGGGACAATCATTTGAACCACTTGAGGGAATAGAGGGTGCTGGTTCAGCGAGCGCCAAGCCGACACCGCATACTGCTCAGCTAGCGGCTCGCATTTGAAATAGAGAATTCCTTGGTTGTCGGCTCGTACGCATTATTATTAAGCGTCCGGGCAATACTTTTAGCATCGACCAGCTGCAACTCGGAGGCGACATCTCTAGCCACCTCAGGGGCCCTCTGAGCTCCCAAGAACAGTTGATGTGAGAATTGCTTCAGGATCGGGATCGGGTGTACATGACGGTCTAACTCATTAATCGATTCGTCGACCTACAAATCACGTGAGTCAATGAGATGAGTTGCACGTGCTGATGGCCACGGGGGAATGAAGAAATCAGGAAAAGGAAAGACATCACGTTTCATGTGACTACTGACTTTTGAGGAAGAAGATAACGAAAAAAGAAGAAGAAGAAGAAGAAAAACCTTGCAATCTACGAGCTTGAGAAGCTCAAGGGGACGTTGCGAAACTTGCGGTAGACAGGTCCAATGATGGTTCTGACAGTTGCTTCCACAGTTTTAACGCCCGATTTCAAAGGACCGGAGCTTTCTTTCGCGTAGTCGTAGAGTGATAAGAAGCAAATGATCATGTAGATTGCTCCGACTTGGACGAAATCAAGATACTTGAGCTCCTTCTTCTCGCATCCTCCCTCAACGGTAGGGTTCATTTGGGAGTTGAGGATTTGGACAGGAAAAAAAAAAAGGAAAGAAAAGAAAGTTTAATTTTTGTTTTGTTTGTGAGTTTTTAGTAAGAGAGAAAAACAAGAAAATGGGAGGATAAATAGCAGGCAAAATTTTTCTTCTCAAATTGGAGAGAAAGTTGAAGGAAACTTGTGAAAATTTTTAATGTATCTGTTTTACTTTTAAAAATATTTTGAATAAATATTTAATAATTTTTCTATCCAAAATCATTTCATGAATTCTCAAAACTCCCAGATAACGTAATAATCCCTTCTCTTTTCTTATTTTCTGTCATAATTTAAGTTTTCTCTTCTTCTCTTTTCTATCCTAAACTCCCAAACTAAGCCTTAATGAATTCGAATCACAGAATTAGCATGTCAAGGACTTGGATATGATTTGCAGGGTAAAGAAGTTTAAAATAAATAAATAAATAAATGGACATGCATAAGATCAATCGCTTTAGTGGCAACTGACAAGACATCCACGCACATAGCAAGGAAAAAGAAAAATATTAGATGTATTCTTTTGCAAGTATCACGAAATCTAGACAAGCCTATATGCTGCCAATAAGCTAGAAAGAGTTTACTAGCAGAGAGAAAAGTATATCAAGAAAAAGGCGAGAAAATGAAGGAAGAAGGTCAAGTGGTCATGCTCACCGGCGTCGTCAGCTGTTTGACTTCATCCGATTCAGCCATAATCTCCCTTTGAAGAAATTGAGAATGATAATTAAATAGAGAAGAGGAAACACATGAGAGACAAGTTACCTACAAGTAGTAATATGCAAAGTGCAACTGTGCAAAAGGAGGCAGCGAAATACATAAACTGGATTCCATACAATGCGCCTTATGTTGTATGTGAACGGAATCAAATGTTATTAACCATTGCCCCTTTTATAATTTTTTTTTGTCGCAATGATAGAATTTCTATAATCTAATATAGCCTAATCTAAAGGAGAGAGGAAAGGGGAGTCGATATGAGTAGAAACTCCATAAAAGAGGTCAATTAAGACCGTCACATATTATAATAATTTTTTTGTGGGAAATAAAGGTTGAACCCTTAAAAGTTTGGTGGTGACCAAAAAATAAATATTTATAGTAAAGTAAAATATTTCAAAAACACTTCAAAAAAACATCTAATTCAAACGCAGTCTTGATCTTTTCCAACTTTAGTTATAAGAACTTGTTAAAAATAAAACTTGTTAAAACACCTTGAGGATTAGTGATATTTTCACAAACAAAATTTTCAAATATAATGTTACAATAATACACTCTCAGAACACTCCAAAAATCACAGTATCAATATAAATATCAAATACAACTAAAAAATAAATAATTAAAAAATCACATCACCTTTATCTTTTCCGGTCATCACACATTACCACCACAAACCACTATTATCTCTCATCTCATTCACCAATAACACTGTATCTTCTCTGTCCCTTCTTCTTTCCTCGTTTCTCTTTCTCCTTTGTCTCTTTTGGTCACGGCTAGAGGCTCTGACTGGAGAGGAGAAAGGAGGCAGGAAAGGGGAAAAGAATGGAGGGGATGAAGGAGGATGAGGAAGAGGGAAGTGGAGACATAGGACGGGAAAAAAACAGAAAGTAAAAAGCACATAAAACGGGGATATGGGGATGGGGGAACATAAGTGGAATATCAATGGTTGGTGTCAATTTACGTTTTTGACCAAGCGAACCACAAGTGTGAGGGCATAAGTGGATATATGAAAACGACGAGGGAGTTATGTGAATTACATGAGGCGTAAGTTTTTTTTCCCTTAAACAAATTTCCTTTTTTATTTTTCTATCTCTCCCCATACCCTTCTATCTTAACTATCAATTTCAAAATTCGAATTGGATAATAGAAAGAAACTGTAAGAGTACTCCCCTAGTGGCTAAATGGGGTGTAAGTTGAATTTGGCAAAATAAATAAATAAATAATATTAATGGTGTCTAAAAATTCATACAAGGAAAACACAAATACATCTAGAAAGTAGATTATTTGGGATAAATTTTTGAAAAAATATTGTAGTATTTTTTTTATATGACGTATGTAAGATAAATGACCTATTTGAGATGACAATAACTCGTTAAAAAAATACTCTACTTAATAGAGTTTTTAATAAAAGCACTTATTAAATGTTTAAACACCTTTAAATATATTGTTTAGATACATTGTTCAATAAGTACTTATTGAATTGAATAATGTATAATTTTAAAATTTTAAAATATATTTATCTTTTTATTTAGTTCATGATATAATGATTAAATTTAATATTTTACTTTTTAAAACATAAAAACTATTGCCAAAGTTTTGAATTTGAGTTTTTATTAAAAGTTTTTTTAACACAAAAAGTTATTTATGGATTAATATTTACCAAATCGCTCAAAAATACTTTTAGCGCTAAAAAAAGCATTTTTATCAAAAGACCTCAAATAGGATCAAAATCATGATTGGGAAAATATATTCACGATACAAATAAATAAATTATTTGTGTAAATAACCCTATTCCAATCAAACTCCGGGTTTTTTAACAGCGTTATCAAGTCGTTAGGGTGCGTGAGGCGGAGGAGCAAGTGCAGGGGATCCATCGGTGGGAGACCCTTAGAACCTAGCTAAGATGGAAGAGGAGGTGAGGATGCTTCTCCAGGACGCTTTTGGCGAATTATCAGATGGCGAAGGCGGCGAGGAAGCACAAGAACGGAAGTCCCAAGATTTGAACAAGCTCTCGATTTTTGGTGAAATCCAAAACTGGGAAAGAATTGATCAAATTAAGGGCTTATGGTTATGCAGGGACTTCCTATCTCCCGATCAACAATCTTCGCTGCTCTCCGCAATCCAAAAAGGCACTTCTATCAATTTGTAAAAACCTTTCTAACTTAACTGCTTTCTTTGGTTGTTACGTACTAAGATGATTGTAAGACGCTCAAAAAACTGGTGATGGCATGTGAGCTTTCGTATTTTTTTTTCTTGAGTCCTACTACAATTTTTATGTTTCTTTAGAGTCGAATCAAATTAAATTTGTTTGAGTTTGATTAAATGCTTATTAAATATTTCTCAACGGATGATTGATAAAAACACAAAATAATAATTGAAGAGGGCTCTCATGCAAGTGTTATTTGTGGCTGCAGAAGGATGGTTGAGTGAATTCTCTGGAAATCAGGTATTAACACTTACTGCCCCTTAGTTCTTGGAAATGTTGAGTTGAATGTTCTGTAATCGTCGCTGCCCGTTGACAGCTCTTAGATTCTCACTTCCACTGGTTATTGCGAGTTTGTAGAAATCTGGTGCTAAATGGAAGACCACACCTGTTTATTTTCTTGTTTTATTTATTTGGATGAATTTTAGAAGAATTGAAATAGATCATACCCGTCATGCCTTAAAACACTTCAGAATTTGATCTTTTGTTAACCGACTGTACGTGGTTGTATTGTTATTTGTAAGCTAATCCGTTTCACATTGCTCTCCTTCACAATCGCTCTATTAATATTTCAGCATACATGCATTTTCTTTGTCGTTGAAGGCCATGAGATTTGGAAATCTTCCCCAATGGGCCATTGAACTTTCCAACTCCATTAAGGAGGCTGTTTTCGTCGGTCATTATCTCTCTGAATCCATGAACTTACCAACTCATGACAAAGGTAAAGAGGCCTACCCCCTTCCACCAGAATTGTTGTGGAGGGAACCGCTATTTGATCAACTTATTGTGAACACATACCAACCAGGTGAGGTGCGACATACTCTTAACTCAATTCCTTTATTCGCTCAGGAAATTGGTATGAATATAAACTTGACACACACACACACGCATATGTATGTATGTGTGTGTATAAACTCTCTGCATAACTCCTTTCCATGCTTGGCAAGTTCATGTCTCTGGTTTGGCTTCATGATGATTGTAGTAATACAACCAAAAGCACCTTGGATTACTGCTGAGTTGCCTTTCTTGATAAAATTCTTTCCATTCTCTGGTCCCTTGGAGTTTTGCTCGTTGGGCTATTATAAGTAAACTTGCTGGCAGTTCCCCATTTTTCCTTTTCTTTGTTTTTTTTTTCCCTTTAATCGTTTCAATTGTTAATTGGTCAAGAAAAATCAGTTACCATGCACTAGGTGATTTTCTTGCTATTAATATTTATTTCCCTTTGTCCGTCTTCTTAAGACCATTGGAAACAGACCACTTTGATCCTACTGGCATGCAGGGAATTTGTGCGCATGTTGATCTGATGCGCTTTGAAGATGGAATTGCCATTCTTTCTTTGGAATCATCCTGTGTCATGCACTTTAGTCTAGTTGAGGATGAGTTATCTGATTATAGAGAGGAGAAGGCGGGCAAAAATAGTTCTTCTGCAAAGATCCCTGTGCTTTTAACCGAAGGATCGTTGGTCCTAATGTGGGGAGAAGCACGCTACTTTTGGAAGCATGAGATTAATAGGAAGCCTGGTTTTCAGAGGTGGATGGGGCAAGAAATTGATCAAAGAAAGCGAACCTCTATTACATTGAGGAAGCTTTGCTAAACTACACCATATTCCGTGGTATATCTCAGCTCCACATCTAATTTTCAGCAGCTCGATTCTACGTTGCTGTGGTAGTAATTATCGCGTGTATATGAATATCCTTCCCGTCGCCCAGCGGTTGGGAAGGACTAATTGGCTATTGCTTCAGGTGAGATCAATATGATTTAAGCTTTTGGGAGTCGAGGCTTGATCTCGGGAGCGCGATAGACTGTCCGTTTGTTCCTTTAAGACAAAACAACTCACTCCTTGACCAGGGCCTTTTATTCTTTTTCACTGGTGGTTCTTTCTACTTGTATTCTATTCGGTCAATGCTCCAATTTCCAACGGCCCACTGTGAGGGCAAGACATTCCTGGCGAACATATTATTGTAATTTATAGCCCCTCGAATGTAAAACTATAATAGCCAATCGAATGCGAGGGTAATAGAATGTCTCAAGCGTGCTTTCTGATACATGGAGAGGGAAGGTTACGGATACATGCAACGTTTTACGGCTATGATTCAACATAATCTTCTCTTTTCTATCTCGACTGCAGATAACTCTTTTCAGTACAATATTATTGTTACAATTAATAATCCTCTACTGAAAAAAAAGGGAATAGAGATGGGGGAAAGCGGATGGGGGTATCTTCTTTTCTATCTTTTGACTGTAGACTCCAACTACTTTTTTTTTTTTTTAAGCACAATATTGTTACAATTAATTCTATACTGAGAAAAAGGGACTTAGTCCTTCCTCAAGTGACCAACCGAGCATCAAGTTATCAGTTTGATGTTGAAGCGTTACTCATAACAGCCATTGTAATTAACGTGAAAATGGGGAAGCGCATGTACCTCTATACAAAAGAACCATATAAAATTCCTAATTTGAGTCTCCGGGATAAAAACCTGGAACAGGAATTTCTTTCCACCCCACTCTGTCCAAACAAGTAGCAAAAGGAATAAAAGCACGCAACAAAATTTGAAGTCCGTGCAAAACATATTACTAATCAGTGCTGGCATGAGAGATCGTGCAATCCACAAACTTCTCGCAGCAACCAGAGGGCAAAAGTGAGAGATACAAGAGGAGGAAAAAGAAGTCTGTCTCAATCCGAGAAAGTATGTTACATCTGTATGCACCCGAAAAGGAAATTAAGAAGGGAGGCCAAAAAAGAAAATAAAAGAAAAGAAAAGAAAAGATGTTGTCTATCACACGAGGGGTAATACAAGCACAATATTTGCTAGTGACAAAATCAAAGCCCATAAAAGGCAAGGCTTCACTAGATCGCCAGCGATGGGATTCATGGTTCGAAAGGTCCTGGCGCACCCAACCAAAGCCCCAAACAAAGCGACGCAAAGCACCAAGCCCATCCTACTGGCTCCAGCCTGAAAAACGATCGGATCCCAAGCAAGGCTCAAGGAGAGCTGGCCCAAGTACAGCAGCAACGCCGTAGGGTTCCTGTGAAAGCCACCTTCGACCCAAACAAGCCATGCCGACAGGCCCATAAGGAAAGCAGAGGCCAGGCAAGCCGAGTGCAAGGCCCACAGAGGAGGAGACCAGAAGGGCTTTTTCATGGTAGCATACTGAAGACTAGAGCCGAAAAGAGAAATGTCCAACAGGGTTAAAGAAAGTGGGAGAGCAAGTGCAAGGCCCAGTGAGCGAAGGCCGCGCTTGGCCATGGCTGTTCTCTTCTTCTGGTGTCTTCTTGTCGCGGTGGTGCCGGTATCTTTTGGGGGCTGTATCTCCTCTTCTTCTTCTTCTCTGGTTCTGTGTTTCAGTTCCTGGGAAGCCATGACGACTACCGGCGTTGTGTTTGTTTGATTTAGACGAGTGAGAGAGAGAGAGAGCGAGAGAGAGAGAGAGAGACAAACACACGCGAATTGGGAAAAAAAAAAAGAGTGGCTGCAGAGCTTTTTCAGGTGAAGAATTTATGGAGCAAAGCGAGTTTTTCTGTGGTTTTGTTGCGGGGAGAAGGAGGACAGATGGCGGAAAGGGATGATGAATTTACTTGAGCAGCGTACACGTGGGCCAAAATTTATCGCCAGCGCTGCATGAGGTATTAGTGATCTCTTTTGCTATCTTGGCACCTCTCTGCTGACAAACATTACATCATTCCGAGTCAACAATTACCACCATGCTCTGCTTGGCTCTATTACCATTCTCTCCGTCTCCTCTCATGAAATTTGTTACTTTTTCTTGTTTTAAAATTAATTATCCTAATCCACCCTTTCTTTTTAATCAAATCTTATCTCTGTTCTGTTCTTTACGTCACTCGTCATTTATCTATCATAATTATCAATACATCAAATAAAGAATGATGCGTCAGTAAAGATATAAAAAAATAAATAAAAATTCTCTTTTTTTTAATATTAAAATTATACACTTTTTAAAAATGACAAATATTTTATGGGACGAAGAAAATATTACGTTTTGATGGGCTAACTCTAGAATGATTTGAAATTGAAGGAATAATTGTATTGTTCGAATGTGACTAGATGTACTCATGTATGGATGCTCATTTATGTATATACCACACTCATACAAGCATAAAATCATGGAAGTTCGTTTTGGGAATTGAGGTTAGATGAAATCGAACGCCTATTTCTTTCTTTCTTTTATTTTTTTTAAAAGAAAAAAAAAAGAGAACAAAAACACATGTAAGCATTAGGAAAGGTAAAGAAGATTCACTGTTTATTATTACCTTGACCTGATGAAAAATTAGATTTAGCTGGGAAAAAAAGAGCAAAATGGTCATTTGGAAATATGATGATCATTGACCAACAGTAACTTTTTCTTTCACACAAAAAACTGAAAAAGAAGGGGGAAAAAAAAAAGGAAGAGGTGGGGTGGAGGGTGGAGGGAGGAGGGAGGGAGCGAGAGAGAGAGAGGGAGAGATTTGACACACTCATCTACAAAACGACGACGCAGGCAAACAGGCGTTTTCCACGCAGAAGACGCAACTCAAAATACGCCTTTAGTCCAAACTTAACGAAAGCGTGCCACAGACGCAGAGACCCAGACAGGTGACTACTGATAGGGCTGCCGGACGCCGTCGAACCGTTTGAGCTTTAAAAAAAAACCTACCCAATTTAGCAGGCGAAGAAATTTTAAAAAAAAAAAAAAAAGCGCTCGCTGACAGAGGCCAACCCAATGGCGCTCCGATCGCCCCCTAAATCCAAGGCCATACAAAAACCCGGTTCGACGTTCCAGAAACTCCTCAAAACCCCGCAAGTACCTTTTGCGTTGGCTTTGCTCTTCGCCGATGCCATCCTGGTCGGACTCATTATCGCCTATGTTCCCTGTAAATACCAAATTATCTCTGCTATCTTTACTTTTATTTTGAGCAGTAGATTTAGTAATGGAGGGGGTTTTCTTTTTGCAAATTTCCAGATACGAAGATTGATTGGGACGCCTACATGTCACAGGTGGGTGGACCTGTGACTTCTATGGACTCCATTCTTACTCAGAATGATGTGATCATTTTACTTCCTGACCTTCAATTCATGTTTATTTTCGTTAAATACGCATGTGCACATTTTTCATGGGGAGCAGGTCACTGGGTTTCTTGAAGGAGAGAGAGATTATGGAAACTTGAAAGGGGACACTGGCCCTCTGGTTTATCCTGCGGGCTTTCTTTACATATATTCTGCCCTCCAACATGTTACCCGCGGTCAGGTTTATCCTGCTCAGGTATCACTTCTACCTTATTCTTAGCTGTCTTGATACTGAAACTTGTTAGTTTTAGCTGCTTTTCGGTATGATTGCCGTGAAGTCAGTGAATTTGCTGTTACTAATTTCTAGTACAAGTAAGCTCCGGAACCGGAAGTACTATCACATCCAATTATCTCATGTCTTTTATGTGTTGATTGTCTTCTACTTCAAAGTCTTACCGATGTTGCTCTTCCATGTCAGTGCAGATTCTCTTTGGTCTTCTCTACATTGTGAATCTTGCAATCGTGTTGTCCATCTACGTGAAGACCAGCGTGGTATGATAACAAAATCCTTTCGATTGCTGAAATTTATGGATAGTGTGCCCACAATTTCAAAAAAAATGAACGCTCTCCTAATGCACGTGCCTGATGGAAATTTTAAGATGTGCATCATAAAATGGCTTAGGAATCCAACGGAACCAATATATTCTGTAAGGGACTGTGATATCTGTAAACAGACATCTAGAATGTAAAGATTGATGCTTATCAGCTGAACTTTGCTAATGTTGCAGTTCATGGCTTTCTTTTCATTTCTTTTGCCTGATCTTCACATTCGTGGTCAACGTTCTCATTATTTATTCAAATGCAATGCTGCTGCAGGTCCCTTGGTGGGCACTTTCCCTACTCGCTTTGTCTAAGAGGGTTCATTCTATCTTTGTACTTCGCTTATTCAATGACTGTTTTGCCACGACTTTCCTTCATGCTGCTTTGTTTTTCCTACTCAAACAAAAGTGGCATCTAGGTCTGATTATTTTCAGGTAGAGTTCACAGGCTTCTTTCTTGGTGGTTTGTGCAAGTGTTTCCTTATACATTAAGTACTTCTTCGTTAAGATGGGCACGATTCTGTTCTTGTTAGTACAGCGCAGCTGTTTCTGTAAAGATGAATGTGCTTCTTTATGCTCCTGCTTTGTTAATCCTCATGTTGCAGGTATACTCTGTTTGGCCATGTTTATTGAAAGTTTGGATCTGGTGAAAGCATTTGTAGAGCACATTTTTATTGCTGCTTTTGTTAAACTTAAAATGCAGGCTATGGATGTTTTTGGAGTAATATCTGCTTTAGCAGGTGCAGCATTAGTACAGGTGCTTATTGTTAAACTGTGTTTACCTGGATATACAAGATGTAGTCGAATGTTCTTTAAATTTATATGGCTAGAAAAGATCATTTAGATATTTATTCATCTGTTAATCGTTTTCCATGTTAGGTGAGTTGGATTTTGACTTCAATCAATTAAACATGGAGGTCTCTCCAGCTGAAATCTGCATATGCTTCTGCTTTTCACTGAGAGATGGTTCTGCAGATACTCTTGGGGCTCCCATTTTTATTAACGCATCCAGTTGCATATCTTTCAAAAGCTTTTAACCTGGGACGTGTCTTCATCCACTTCTGGTAATTTTTTCAAATTCATGAAATTCATCAAAAAGGAGGGAAGTAGCATGCCCTTATTCCTAATGTTTGCTGAGATTAATCTTATTTTCTATGTGTTATATTTAGCTTGGCCTTTCACACAATTAAGAAAGCATTTGTTTTTTGTGATGGCCATGTATCTAGGTTCTAAATAATTGTTTATTTCATGGGTTTGTGTTTGTGAAGTTTTATTTTGTTATTTTCTCTCATCTTGCTGGCATTCATAGAATGCTGAATACAAGTTCTCTTTGACTTGGTCTACTAATAGAATGTTGATTGGAAACTAACTATGTCTTTGTCACAGGTCTGTTAATTTCAAATTCGTTCCTGAACCAACATTTATATCAAGAGAATTTGCTGTTGCTCTGCTGGTTGCTCATCTTGGTTTGCTTACTGTTTTTGCCCATTATAGATGGTGCAGGTGAGTGCGGTTCTTGTAAATTTGCCTTTACTGTTAATAGATCCGTAGGCACGCATTGAAGGATATCTTTGGCCAGTACTTTTGAATTCTCTTGTCCAGTATAATGAAAACCAAATAAGCTTGCCTGTGCTTTATGAAGAGAGAGTGGGGAAAAGGCATTGAGCCCTTACTGTTTTCTTATCATTTACCTTTTAGAAAGTAACATAGTGAGGGAAGGGTTGGGATGACCCTCTTTTGACTCTTGGGGAAGTCAGCATAGCTTGTGAAAGGAGTGCTTCCACTGTTCAGATAGAAGTCGTTTTTGTGGAATAGATGTTTGCAGGCTTTTAACTTGAAGATGTGGCCTCATTTATTTTTGTTTCTTCAGGCATGAAGGAGGATTGCCTTCTCTCTTGCGGCTAAAAATTGCTGAGCTAAGTTCTTTTTCAATGACAAGGTTTTACTGTACTAGTTCAACAACGAAACTTCTCAGAACAGAGTGTAAGTGAAGCTCCATGTATTTGTCCTCCTTTTTTCTCTTTTAACTTTTGTCTCCTCTAGGACGCTCGTCCCTGTTCTCCTTTTAGACTTTCAAGTTCTACAATGCTTGTATAACTTTTTGTATTCCCGTTCAGATATTGCGACTACTATGTTTGTTGGGAACTTCATTGGCATTGTATGTGCACGTTCTTTGCATTATCAATTCTATTCCTGGTGAGTTCTACATGGTTTTTTGTTTCTTCTCTTCTGCATTTTGTGAAGGGAGGAGTCAATAAACAGTAGGTTGTATAGACTGCTAGTTGCCATGCCCTGCAGCACTGAAGATGGAGTGCTGGGTTGACCAACCCCTTCCAGTTAACCTCTAGTTTGCCAGTTTTAGGTTGTATTTATCCTCTACATGAGTTTTGGTTACCTTCCCTGATAGGTTGCCTTAGCTATGAACTTAATGGATTACTGCATCTTTTAATGCACTTGGGTGTTCATTAGTGCTTCAAAATATATTAATCATGTGGTGCTATTTTAGAAATGATTTGTTCAGCTTCAGTTGCGCAGGTATGTAAGTAATGTTTAACAGCGAGAGGTGTTTTCTGGCGCAGGTACTTTTATAGCTTGCCCTATCTGTTGTGGAAAACCCCGTTTCCCACATTGCTGCGGTATGGTTCATCTTGGGTGGCGAAAAATCTATTTTTTTTTTCCCGAGTTATGTGGTTACCTATCATGGATTTGATGACAAAAATCTTTTCTTCTGCAGTTTAACTTTGTTTGTGGTGGTAGAGTTGTGCTGGAACGTGTATCCTTCCAATGTTTATTCATCTCTGTTGCTTTTGGTAGTCCACTTAGTTGTGTTAGGGGGGCTCTGGACTGCTTCACTTGGAAATCCATATGCTGATGATCCAAATAGTAGATTGACAGCCAAAAAGAAACAACCATGAGGCTCGGGGGGCTTTTTCCTGCTTGTTCGGAATTTTGTAATCTTGGATGATACTCCTCCATAGAACAACAAATGGAAGAGAAGTCTTCGTTTTTTGAGACTCCATGAACGAGTTGATTTGCGTTAATGAGATAATAGTTTTTTTTTGGGATAAAAAATAAAAAATCCCCTTGTAATAAACCTAATATACAGAAAAGTCTCCCGTGTTGTGTTTCAAAACGTACAAAACGACATCTCATGCTTTAAACTAAATTATAAAGGGGACGGAATCCGTTAACATTAATAGAAATGATTTATTGAAATATAATAAATATTTTTTTATAGCTACTTTTTAACAAATATAACCGACAAGCTCGTGGGTTACTGATTTAAGTTGATGACAACAATACTCGAACTGCACTTGGGAAACAAAGAAATTAGTAATGGCGTAAATTTCGGGCCAATGCACTGCCGTATTTAAGTGTTAACAAGGGAAAACTCATGTGCCTAGGAACTCTCAAAAAGAGGAGCTACTACTACTAGTATTTGTGAGAAGAAAAGCCAGATGGTGCCGGCAAATATAATAGTTATCAACTGGTGAGCTCTTTCGGTTTTGTGTATTTCTACAGCAAAGATACCGGAACTGAATTTGGAATGAAAGGCCTTTGGTTTCCCGATCCTGGGAAATGGAACGGTAGCAGCAAAATTCCAATGCAGACAAAATAATTTTTCTGGGAATGCAAAAAAAAAGAACTGCAGGTTTGCTTTTCTGGCAAATCAGCAATTGGGGTAGTCGCATTTTTATTAAAATTTTTTTTTCTGAAAGAAAGAGAAGAATCTTATGGAGAAACATTGAAACAAAGACCCTACCTTGCGCTTGCAGGAATATTGAAGGAGGACCGATTATTAATTACTACTACTATATCATACATACTCTAGTAAACATTAAACAACATATAGTAAGTAAGAACATTCTTACGGGAGACCTCAAAAGGGTAGTATATTAGTTCCCTGTGAGACTTCAAAAGTTACCGGCTTTTGGGGTTCTCACGGGATTCGGGTTAATTTATTACTACAAAAGTCTTAACTTGCTTGGTAAAAAAGACCAAACCTTGCTCGGGATAGTGGGTTCTAAGTTTAGGCCTAGTAGAAGCTGCCCTGTTTGGGGGTTCAGTCCCACATCGGGGTTGTTAGGGGGATTGGGGTAGTATATTAGTTCCATGTGAGACCTCAAAAGTTACCGGTTTTTGGGGTTCTCACGGGATTCGGGTTAGTTTATTACCACAAAAGTCTTAACTTGCTTGGTAAAAAAGACCAAACCTTGCTCGGGGTAGTGGGTTCTAAGTTTAGGTCTAGTAGAAGCTGCCCTGTTTGGGGGTTCAGTCCCACATCGGGGTTGTTAGGGGGATTGGGGTAGTATATTAGTTCCCTGTGAGACCTCAAAAGTTACCGGCTTGTGGGATTCTCACGGGATTCGGGTTAGTTTATTACCACAAAAGTCTTAACTTGCTTGGTAAAAAAGTAAGAGCATTCAATATTTCATTCACACACACGTAAAAAGCAGTAGTAACTACTACAACGAATAATGGTGCTGCTCCGTACTTAAAATACGGAAGAGAGATAGAGAAGCGAAGAAAAAAAGAAGAGGCTTTTTAACTCCGGCAACGAGTAATGGCGCTGCAACCGCGGGTGTAGGGGTTTGCTTCAGCACCAGGCTGGCAGTTGTAGTAGGAAGAACCCCGGCGAGAGCATGGAACGGTGTTCCTCTGCAGAGCACCGTAGCTTATGTAATTTCTGGTCGCTAATATGCGCCGGTTGATCTCCGAATCCATGCTGAGTTCGCCGCTGCCCAAGCACTCTGCTATTGAACCGCGGCAGCTGGCTGCTGCTTTCATCGGCATCCAAGTATTCAACTCTTGGTGGTCCAAGCCGGCTGAGATCGGCCGACCTGAAACGATGATAAATACTATGCAACTGTACAAGAGCAGGTGATCGGACGGAGAGTTTTTCGCCATCAAACTGCTAAACAGGTAAAAGTTGGCAGGGTTACTTCTTCTTCTTCCGACGGGCTAGTTGAACGACTCTCCTTTCTTTCTTTCTTTTTTTTTTTGGAATTTTTTTGAACTCCGAAGCGAAAGAATGCCAAGGCAGCGCTATTTATAGTTATATGCCTTTCGAATTTGAATAGTGAGACAGCGAGAGCTGCAGTTGTTTCCAAATAATTAAAATAAAATAATTAAAAAATTAATTAGGACCAATTAAGGCATACACACACACACACACTTTGGCTTCAAGGCCTTTCAATATTGGAGAATAAGAAAATATATGAAACCAGTAAACGTTTCATGTTGAAGATTTTCCAGGTGAATTAAGAAGTTTGTACCCTTTAATTCTCAACGTCCAATTGTCAAATAATAATAATAATGCTTATGCTATCGGAGAGCTTCTTTCGTTTAAATCACAAATTAATTGCCAAGCAAGTGACCCATCCAGGAATACACGACAGACAAAAAGTTCATTTTAGCTCAATGCCCTTCATATACTATTATGTTTGCCCTTCATCATCTACTAGTGTAGTGTAGTAGTAGTATTCTTGTTTCCATGCAACTGACTTGAATCAAATAAATTCTCCCTTTCTCTCATTTGTTGTCCTTTTGCCTGAAGCTGGCAAATGGGCTGCTAGCACCTTTCCTTTTTTTTTTTTTTTTTTCTTGAAACAACCAGAATACATACTACATATGATGGATGGAAGACGCTTTCATTGTAGGAAAATGGATTGTGGGAAAAGAAAAACAGAAATTAAGGCCAAAATTAAACATGCACCCATTCATTTTCCTAAACATTAATTACAGAGAGAGTGGTCTTTTTTTTAAGATTTTCATAAGATGTTGAATTACGGGTACATTGGTAAGATATCACAACGCAAAAGGCAAGATTGGGTTTGCACAACAACCTTCACCTGTTTAGTTGTCCTAATCTAACACCCAAATTATTCAAAATTATTTTTACCAGACCTAACCCCCAAAAAAACAAGAAAGTATGAGTATCCTTCAAGCGCGTCTTCATTGCTGTCGCGAACCCTGAGCTTTGATCTTGTCAAAACCTACCATGGAAAATGATGCCAACTGCTAAAAAATTACCGCTACTACTGAACAATCTCACTAATTAGCTAGGATTGCTTGCTACTTAAATACAAACGGGACGGGACACCATCCCTTTGTGTTCGGAGTAATTAATTTCAACGTGGAAGAAAATTTCAACGTGATTTTTAGGTACTAATGCATTTCGTCAAATCCCGTGCGGATATTTCGCTGGAAAATTTGCAAGCACTATCAATCAGGGTCACGTCACTAGATGATATATTCATTTCATCGGTCAAATAATTTTTTCAGCTACTACTCGACTCGTGCGTACCAACGAAGCTGCCACCACGCCAGTCCTGTTTCGATTCTTCAAATTGAGTTTGACTTGGGTCAAACTTCTCTTTCAAGATGTAAAATCACATTAATTGAGAGAGCAAAATAAAAACCACAAGATTGTCCTTTGTTCGTTGGTTCTTCAGTCTTCTCCCTGGTCCTTTCCTACCTCGGCTGCAGTAACCTATATATATGTGTGTGTGTGTGTGTGTGTGTGTGTGTGTGTGTGTGTGTGTGTGTGTTATTTTCTTGGTTCTTCCAATTCTCACAGCAGGCTTCTGGTTTTCTCGATGAAGGTTGGCGTTGGAGTTGGGCTGAACTTTTTAACACCAGAAATGACCAGTCTGAACAGGCATTATTGCCTCTCCATCCAGCTGTGTATAGTTCTGCTCCTCCCCGACCTTTCTCAACCACTCATTTATGAAATCGCAATGCTGCGGGCATTGTAATGGAGATTTCCTTCGATTCATTAAGGAATCTAAAATCCCAGTTTCCAGCAATACCTTTTGATATCCTTCTACCAAAGCCAATTCAAATCCATTTATATTTTCTTCTTTTCCCAGATGATCGTGATCGAGAATCAAGATCCAAAGAGAAAATATATGCATTCACAAACACAGGCCTCGCAGCTTTAAGCAAATAATCAGAATGCCATCAATTTACAAAAAAAAATTACATCCACGAAAAGACAAATTACGACATTTGAACAAGAATAGAGAAGCATTTCATCTCAAGAGTAGAATCCTCAGAAACAAAGATTACATAAAATGCCACAAGGGGAAACTTTGCAAGACAACAACAGCAACAGCAATACCCTTCTATGTAAACAACTTGTAAATAAAAGAACCAACTTCTATATCTTACAAGTGTCGTCCAATCTGCATCAACCATCGAAGCAATCAATGTTATCTTTCTAGCTTGCTTAACAATGCATCCATTTCTGGCAACTCCTTCACAATTTGTTGCCAGTCAGGCATACCCTGAAAATGAAAGATCATTTCTAATACATTCACGTAAAACTGGGGGGGAGGGGTTTAGAAACTGGATTTTCCTCAATAATAGCCACCAGAGGATACACTTGGTTATCAGATCATCCAAAGGTGACATGCAAAAGATGGCATAAAAAATACCAACCATCCATAGAATATTACAACTGCTATAATGGATTTTCATATTATGTAGCATTTCAATGTGACCAAGCAAGCCAAATGAGTGCACAAAACTTTCAAATGGAACATTACCTAGAGCGTGCTTTCCACTACACACCTAGTATTGGCATTCAATGGGCAAGTAAACATTTAGGAGGAGGAAAAAAGTGTCTTCCTTCTTTCGGTTGCATGAGGGTGTTTTATTTTTGGTTGGGGGAGGGTGGGGGGGGAGCATTACGATTCCACAACCCCCCCCCCCCCCCCCTCAACAACACCAACAAAAAAAAAAAAACAAAACAAAACAAGAGTGGAAAAAGAACATTACCCAATCTAGTACTATTCCAATTAGAGGTTAAGGGAGAAAAGGGAACCTCATCTAACTAGTGATCCAGGGAGCAAAAAGAGAGAGAAAATTAAGAAATTAACAAGAAGAAAATGATGAGAAAAGTAATTTTCGGGCAATGAGTAATTACCCTTCCTGATCTGCGGACACGGCCATCTAGACGAAGTATAATGTAGACATCTTCACCAGGAGTAACACCTTCTGACTTCTGTTGATCCTTAATCCACCTGAACAAGAGGAAAACAAAAGGCAAACAGAAATGACTACTTGAAAGTAACAGTAACCTAAGAAACCTGCATACCTCTTTACAATATTATTTATCTATTAAAATGAAAGAAAAAGTTTAGAGGTTCTTTATCCATGTAAAGATGGGCTATGGCCTTAGAGAGAGAGAGAAAAGATGAGCTATGTAAAACACAGAGTTCTTCGAAGATGGAAGCTAAGCATGTTAGAAGAACAAAATGACCTTTCCCACTCCACAGGTGATACTGGCTCTGCCTTGAATCTAATCTCTGCCTTCAATTTTGATTTGGTAACTACTGATTGAGCTCGCTTGTCAAAATCTTCCTGCATTGTTCCAAGAAGCATTATCCAGGAAAAAGAAAGCTAATAATACTGAAAACTTACTCAATATCAACTTGGTGATGTAAGTCTTCACTGAAACCAACTCCAACCAAGTGTTGATTTAAATATTTAGTACCCCAACTGGTTTATGCTACTCTACGAAGGGTAATACGAACTCCAAAGAGTCAAACATCATGAGATAAAGGTATATGCACAGTGGTAGAACAAGGATTTTAGACCTGGGGAAGGTAAGCTGTAGAAGTTTAAAATATGTAGGGATAAAGCATTGGGAGGGCTGAGGGTGGAGAGGGGTAGTTGTTTGGTCCATCAGGCATGGATAGACAGGGAGGGGATGGGACACAAAGGTCGACAAAAAATACACAAAGTAGAACACTCTCAGTAGGGGAAAAAAGTGTCAATATCAACAAAAACATTTTTACGAACCCCTAATGATGGAAGAGAAGCGGCAGCTTTTGGAGAAAGACCGAAGCCTTTCTTTTCTGCTGGTTTGTCACTATTCTGACCCCAAATAACAGGAACCAGAAGAACACCTCTCCTAAGGAGCTCAGTCCGGCATCTTTCGGCTTTCTGGAGTGCTAAGGAGACTGTTTCCTTGTTCCCAGCCAAAATAACCTACAAGTGGACTATGCTTCCTATTAGGAACATTAGATGGGATACTGTGACCCTACCAAGAGCAATATTCGGGAGAATTTAGTTAGATTTTTATTTAACTGACTTACAGGCCTGACAGTGTCTCGTAACTGAACGAGTTCAACAACCCTGTTAGTTGAAAGGCGCAAAGGTAGCCTTGAGAGGGTTTCATCACGAGATATTTGTGCAAGCTGTTCCTCCTCTTTCTTATTGTCCCAGAGAAACAAAGCCACAAGAACAATGATACCTGTAAGTTGCTGATACAAAAGCTGAATCATTTATGAAGCACATTTTTATTCTCAAAAGATTAAATAATCACACCAAATGCACACATCACCAAGAAAACCAAGATTTTGGCTTACCGCCAATATTTATTGCAGCATTTCCTGCAGTCTCCCAAATATCAGGAGCTCCATCACCACCTTTAATTGATCGGTATAGTCTGGGTATTGTAAAAAACATTGATATTCCAGCAGCAGCAGTAAGCGCCACATAAAAGAATCTCCGAACACCACGGAAAGGTGCTTGGACCTCACTGATAAGTTTAAGGTCTCTCCGAAAACTGTACCCTATATCTTCCCCGCCTAGCCTAGCCTGCATAATTAAATCACAACATGCAACTTTGAATTACATCTCATAACTTGAAGAAACTTAATAAATGCTGTTAACCAACATAGTACAAACTTTAAGATCCACATCAACACCCAGAATAGACAAATAACACTCAGGATGAGATACAAACCTCTTCTTGCAACTCTTTAAATTCAGGCAATGCTCTGAAAGAGGCCAAGTCTGGGTCATTCAGAATTGTGCCAAACTTGAGGTCATATTCCTTCAAAGCAGTACGCAAGCAGTCAGCAGCTTTCTTTCCTTCCCCTCTTGCATAGAAAAGTAAACAGCATTATCAGATTCCTCAATCTAGATTCACAATGTTAAAAGCCACCACGAGGATGTACAGTCCTTGT